TGCTCTCAAAGGTTTTATTTAGCACATTTACAGAGGCAAAATTTGCATATTTAAGAAGAGTCTGGCTAGTCTGTGTGAGCTGGGCACCATCCTTCTGCTTATTGAATGGCATATGAGCCTAGTTTAAAAGTGGTGAAACTCATTTGTGAAGTGTTTCCCTCTTTTATAAGGAAGCGTAAGGAGAAAATGCTGTGCTTTTTGGAGGGGGTAGAAAATGGAAGGATAGGAGAGAAGAGAGGAAGAGGAGAGAAGAAGCAAAATAAATGAGAGAAAAGAAAATGCTGTGAACTGACAGCAAGATTAATGAAAAGAAATGAAACCTTAGCCTTGGCTGGCACAGATGGTTTTGTCTTTCCCAGCATAAACACACATGAAAACTTTACATGCTTTTACTTATAGTTTGTGGGGTTTAAAATGGTGGAACAAAGTATGAATCAGATGTTAACTTTACTGGGAACATGTCATTTAATTGTGGCTTGGTTGCTTTTTTCTTTTTTTTTCTCTCAAGTCATCAAGTAAAAATCCTCTAGTTTTATTGGACTGGGTCCATACAAAGCTAGGCTGCTTCATCAACCCACTGTGCACCCCTCAGTCCTAATCCTGATTACATTTGCCTTAGTTGATCTCTCTGAAGCCAACCCACTTCAGTGTCCTTATATGCTTGCATACTTCAATGGCAAAACAAAAAAACCAAACCTGTGAAGTGCTGTTGTCTTTGCTGCTCTTTTTTTAGTAAACCTCAAATATCCAAAGAGGCAAAACTTTATTATGTGTGTTTTGCAATCAAGTGAGTTAATGACAATTCAGAGATGTCTAAGTTGCTTTCCTACTTGCTACTCTTTTGGTCAGCTGCAAATTAAAATACTTATAGAGAGAATTTTTAGTGGAAATTTTGCTGTGAGCAGTTTTGGAATGTAAAATAACTTTTTTTGTTGTTAAAGGAAGTGTCTTTGTAACTGGGAAAACAGCAATCCTCTGACATCCCAGAACTGTTAATTTACCTTTTATCTAAGTGACAGCCTGTTGCTGAGGGTGAAAAATAAATGTTTGCACTCCCCCAAAAAGTGTGAGCAATGTAGTCAATCTCTGAGGAGCAGGCACTCATTGCCTATGTGGTCACAGCAGCTTTCATCACCAATGGATCTAGCTGTTAACTGGAGCTACTGTGGTATAAAACGATAATAGTAATAATGGTAATGCAAATCCAGCCTTGATTGCAACGGGGCAGATCCCAAGCAAGGAAAATTAGTGTAACTCTCAGGGCACAGCAGGGGGAATTTAATGCAGTGCCTCTAGGGTTGTTGTGAGCATAGGGAACAGGCACTCTTTTCAGTGTGGTTTTTGGTCCTATTTTGTGGACTCTAAGTTTTTGTCAGGATAAAAGTTCAGGGCTGGTATACAGCTCATTCCAGCAGGAAACAGTGTCTTCCTGGCTGGCTGGATACCACCTTCCATCTTTCTGAAGATACAACTTAATACCTCTCTTTACTTGAGTTGTACTGAAAATGGGAGAGCTTTTTGTGTATTGCTTCTTTTATCACTGTTGGCAGATACTAGTAGAAAACTGGGGTAAAGGGCCACATAACTGAGATGAAAACAAATAAATTGTTCCATATTTTTCCTGTAGTGCATTATATATTGACATTCAGATAACGCTGCATGTCTGAGAATAGGCCAACCTTTACAATTACCCATTAAGCAGTATTTGCTTTGGCCTGTAATAAAAGAATTCTGAGGGATTCCCCTTGCCTATTCTTTTAGTTAAGCTTAATGGGCAGTTCATCTGCTAAAACTTTTCTCCTTCTGTAAAAACAAACTTGCCTTTAAAAAAACCTTCTGATGGGAATTTGAAGAAGACTTTTGACCTGTTGACTGCTGAGATGCCAGTTATTGCTACAATGTGCATTTTGAAATTGCTTGATGATTGCTTGACAAGAAGAGCTCTGGCCCTGTTTGCTAGTCCCTTTTAACTCTGAAACAGAGCCTGTGGTTTTAGCCATGGTTCATCCCAGTAGGCTGTACTGCTTCCTGCCTTGGTTATAGCCATTTTAACTGTAGCTAGAGGGAGAGAGAGATGCTTCTCTTACAGGTAAGAAGTGGAGACAAAATTATATTATCATCCTTTATCAAGGATTTTGGATTGACAAGACCAAGACCAGATGCAGGAGATTTCAACTGGTTGTTTTTTTGGTGTATTTTTTTTTCTTGTTTGTTTGTTTGTTTCTTGGGTTTTTTTGTGGGGGGTTTTGTGTTGGTTTGGTTTTGTTTTGTTTTGTTTTGGGGTTTTTTTGTTATTGTTAGAAAAAAAGGAATAAAAAAAAGCCTTTGAGAAATTCAGGCAGTATATGTTAGAGCCAATGGAGTAGAAGAAACAATGTAGTCCTCTCATGAAAATAATTTAACATTATAATAAGAGGAATAGTAACTTAAGACATAAACATCCACTATGCCTCAGTATATGAAGTACAAGAAGAGAAGACAAAATATAAAAGCCCTCAGTGGTAGTTCCTTGCAACTTAATCTTTGACTAGCAAAACTTGAATGTGTAATGTCCCTGGTGATTAAGGAGAATTTGTGAAATAAAGTGGAAACTTGTAAAATTGAATGATCTGTAACATGGCAGGCAAAATAGTGAGACAAATTTCAGGGGGAACTAAAAGGAAAAGAGAGCATATAGCTTCCTGATGTTTGGCCAGCCTTGGGAAACTCTGCCTGGGTAAATTCCAAATGATGGAAACTGTAATAGAATCAATTTCTCTTCATAGTTTAAATGTGTCTATAATCATATTTGAAAGTCTCACAGATGCTTTGCTAACAAAGAAATTGGAAGATATGTTTTGATTTTAAGTTATGAAGGGTTTCGGAGTTCCTTGTTAAAAGTAAAAATCTATACACCTTGTGTGACACCCTCTCTGAATCCTTGGGGAACAGAATTTTTGCCATAGTCATGAATATATGGGTTTTGATCAAAAGTAACACAAATCCTCATAGCACATAACACAAAAAGACAGTAAAATGGCCTTTAATATCAAAGATAAATTTGGGGAAAATATATAGAAATTTTTGCCTAATGAGATTGAACAGCCTGGATTATGAATCGCTGATCTTGAGGACTAATAGCAAGACCTGAGTAACTGTTTCCTAAACAAGACCAAGAGTTGTGTTGCATCACTGGTCTGCTCAAGGAGCTGACAAAGCGTGGAACCATTTATGAGTGTATTATAGAAATGCCTATATTTTTGATATATATTGCACATGCCTGACTCTCACATTTTGAGAAGATACAATGTCATCCACACAGGGAGATAATGAAGGTGTGAAGGAACGCAAGGGAGAGTAGCCTTCTACTGGAAGAAGGGCACTGTTCGAGGTTATGCAAAGCCAAGAGGAAGGGTAGGTTGTAGTGCACAGTTCCTCTTTGTGCCACAGAAAATGAAGTGTGTAAGTTCAGATCTTAGATGGAAGTTCTCAGTTCCCAGAGGGCCCTATCAGAGAAATCCTGTCTCTTCCTCTGTGCTTAAATTTATAAAGTCAAGAGAATATAAAAGTGTTCAAATTATGAAAAAACTTTTATATTCTGTTCTTTTTATATTTTTTAAAATTGCCTAATATTTCTGGGCTACTTTCACTATTCTATTTTAAACTGATTATCCTCCTACAAGTGATATTCTCTTGCCATATTACCTGCATTTAGAATTAGTTTTTAATTTTACTTAGAAAATGAAGTCTGAATTAAGAGCAGATATATAAAGCTAGAAGTAGGTAAGGGCTAATTATGTAGGCAACTTACCTGCCCTTTGCATTGAAGTCTGTGATGCCAGGTACTTTCTCAAATTTGTGTTATTGATGTCCAGCTGAGATACAGTCAGTAGAAGCAACAGACTTGTAGCTGCAAATGTCAGGTGAGCTTGTATTCCTAGCAGCAAAAAGGTATTTACATCTAAAATTAATAATATACTGAGGAAAGCTGTATGTACATACAGGAATTAAAATAGAATAATAGTATTTAAAACTAACCATGATTAAGTTTTCTGAATTTGTCCTGTACTAACAATATTCCACTTAAGAGAAGTCCTAAGAAAAGGATTCAGAAACAGCAATATTATGATGGATCTGGTAACTGAAATCCCAATTTACTTTGAATCATTTTTTTTCTGGAAATTAATGACTTGGAATGCCTTTACTAATATGTTGCTTTACTGAGTGAAATGTATGTAAAATTGACTCTTAGGTTGATTAGAACAGCAGAATCTGACTATGATTAAAACCACTGTGGGTATCAGTCATCAGATGTCTGGAATTTGCTATTTTCTTTATGCAAGTTAAACAGCTATTTTGTATTTTAATTTTGTTACATATAATATAAAATAAAATAATTTCTTAAATACAGAATATGATCTTTGATGGGTCATTTCTACTGTTTTGAATTTTGCTGCCCAGAAATAGAAATTGGGCTATATTTAGTTCTACAAATTTGTCACCTAGTGCTATCTCAGTTTCTTTTATACTAAAAAATCAGCAATGACCAGTTAAATAAAATCATGCAGCTTTGGTATTGTTCATTATCCACACGGGAGCCAAGTGTCTGTGCTCCTGTGATAAAATTAGCATCTCTGATACTCCACTGTGACCACAGGCGGAGAAAGGCAGTAGGTAGCAAAAGCGGAACTGCTAAGCATGCCCACATAAGAATGTCACACTTAGGTAACTGAGTGTCCCTCAGGTCAGCCTACGATAAGAGCAAAGTCAAACAAGGCTGAATCCTTGATGTTTTGTGTTTTAAGTATCTGAAAATTGTTCACGACCAGCCTCGACCTACAAGACCTCAAATGATCATATGAGCAAGGCAATAAATCGGTGGTAACTTGCCCTGGGGCCCATGTTGTAGTTGTGATGTTGTGAAAGTTGCATCTAGTGTTAGCCTGTCCACATAGATCTGCCTGCTATTTCAGGGTTCTCAGACGGGAAAATTTTATACTCACTTTTACTGAAGGGGAACTATGGTGGCTGAATGGGCATGGCTGAAGGGTTCTGCATCGTATCAGTGCAATCCAGTGGAGATGCACGGGAATACCACAGCATCAGGAGAGCTGGGGAACCACTTGCTTTCCAAAACTCCACACCTGAGCAAGATTTTGGCAAAGCCAACGGTTTGTAGCCCTGCAGTATTTGCCAAACATCCAGGACGTGGCCTCCCGCTGTGGGACAGACTGATTCACCTTCCTGACAGAAATCAGAAATGGAATGTATTGGGCATAACAGAAAATCATTTCTGTAGGAAAAGACACTTCAAAAATTATGATATCCAGAGGAATGGACAGCAGCTTTTGCAATGCCGACATGCTTCAACTTGGACTAGTACAATTTTACATCCAGGCTGTACAAAAGCAAACTTTGAAATCATGTCAAGTGCCCAGGAATACCAAAAAGAAGAAAAAAAGTGTAAAGGTAACTGACATTATCACAGCACAGCAAATGTTGTATTTAGAAAAAACAAAAAGCAAAACCAGCTTATGTCTTTGTTTACTGTCAGGGGTTTGGCCATTGGTAAAAGCATTATTATGTGGGGATGTTTTCTAGCTACCAACCTTTTAAATTTTTTTTTTAATCAGTGGTAATTGTGGTTTTTAGTTATATCTTCTATTTAATTTAATAGCTTTGTGAAGAGCCCTTATAGCAATGTGGTGAGTACTTACTGGGGTTTTCTGTGTGATACCTAATACAAAATAATATCTCTTATTTTAGAGCTTTTAAAAAGTATTTGACTCTCTCTTTATGATCTTTGTGAGCTGATCAAAAATCTTTTCTGAACTTGGCTTTTTTTATAAAGCATATATTTGATACATTCAAAATGCAAAAACAAAAGAAAGTATTCTTTTCTACTTTCAGGGTGTTCAGCTCTCACCTGTGACTGTGTTGTTTGCCTTCTTTCTTAATATTAACCATACCCAAAGCCTCAGTAAGTGCATGTACAGAGCTCAAGTGGGACTTCTTGTTAGGAATATTCTCTGCCTCACTAGTCAGGAGAATAAACCATTTTCTCTGAGGTTGGTTATTTTGTTCACATCAGCACAGCATTGAAGGAATTCCTTTTAAGAATCACAGTTGCTAAGGTATTAGCACAAAAGTAGTGCTTAAGTTATTCTTACTCCTCTTTAAACTTGAATAAATAGTTCTTCATTGCTCTTCGCCTAAAAAATAATTACTGTATATTGGGAGGGGGGATTACAAGTTGTTTTCTTTTACTTAAGTCTTGCGTCACTCCAGGAAGAAAGATTACAGTGTCAGGCAGGATATCACCTCATGAAAAAGTTAAACTGGTCTAAGTACCTGATTTCTTTAGATTTAGTTGTGCTTTACCTCAGAATGCCTCTTTGCTAACAGATGTCAGGTGTTGATCGCTTTAACGTCTTACTAAGGGCTGTCAGGAGGTTACCAAACCCAGACAGTTCCATCCAGGAGCCTGTTAATTATGTTATGTCAAGCTAAATTAGCCTGTTTTCTGCTTGGTTTTATTTTTGAACAAATGAAACTTCTTACCTTGATGTTTTCATGTGAAGTTGAGGCAGGGAATGACTCAAAAAAGGTATATGTTTTAAGTATTGGCCATTACTTTCTCAAGAAATAAGCTCTGTAATTAACTGATGTCTGCTGACAGGGTCTTCCAATTATGATATATGGGAAGGCTTAACCAACTGGGTTGTCTGGGTCACAGTTCTGTAATTACTCTTAGTAATATTTGTTCAGGGACCATGTTAAAATTGTCCAAACTATCCAAGAATTTTGTTTGCTCATTTGTTGGTTGATGTCTCAAGGAGCAAACGCTTTCTGACAGACTGTGTGCTACCTATCCATATTATGAATAGTGCAAGAAAAAGCAAGCACAAACCCTGGAGGTGTCCCGATCAGAAAAGAGCAAGCTTCATTCTCTTTTTACCAAATTTATTCAAGGTGTCAAAAATATTTTGAGGGATAACTGGAATTGTAGTGAATCTGAACGTTTAAATATAAATGATGACATTCTTTGTTACTCAAGCAGACTAATGAATCTGAAGTATTTCAATAAAAGACACATCATACTGGCATTTTATGAGTCACAGACAAATTTAGTGTCATGTCATAACCGAGGTACAGTGGGTTTTGTGAGAGGAACAGTGAGAAATAACTAAGTTGGTACACGTGGAGAAAAGAGGTGTGCTGTTGTCTAAGATTTTTGTCTAGTTTGTACCACAGGACAGCTACTTTGAATCTTCCTTCATCTGTTGCAAACCCAAGGAATAATTTTATGTCAGAAAGATTTAGCTTTTTTTCCTTCAACTATTATAAATGTAGCATAGATAAAACGATTATTTTTTTAATGTCTTATCTTCCACTGAGACATACTCCAGGAACTGTTGAATGCTGTTGTGACTTTTCAGCACCAGAATTCCATAACCCTACCTACCCTATGATTTAGTCACAAGCAGAGTTTTCAAAATAAAATAAATACCATGAAGAGTTAATTTTCTGTTCTTGTAAATGCTTGTTCTTATTTTGGATTCTGATGTTTGAGGTTTTAGCTTAATCTCTAAGTTTGTGTAGTCCCTCATACATCTGAGGGACCATTTTGAGTCTTTGATCATAGTGCATAAAGTGAATGAATAAGGTAGTGCAAATACATTAAAGAGAGATGGTAACTCATTGTGTGGGCACTGAGATAGTTGTATTTGACAACTTATGGGTGTTGCAAAAGCCACGTTAGTAGTTTTGCTCAAAAGCTGTTGCAGTTTTCAGTATATGTTCCTTATGATATGAGAAGATTCCATTCTGTCTGGAATGCAGCCCATGTTATGAAAGTGCTGATTTGTGTTTGCTCAGAAAAGCCATAATCTAATTTCTTTTTTTTTCTCCCAAAACCATCAGAGGTGGCTGAGACAACAATAAAATCCATAAATAGGAAATATAGCAGTTATTTTGTAATGCGTTAAAATTCATTTTACAAAACTAGGAACTGATAACACAGGCATACAAAACTGTGAGGAGTTCAGAACAGTATGTTTTATCTTTACAACTACATGTTTAAATGTGCAAAATTTTTTAGTAAATCCTGGATTTTTATTCATCTTTATGCATGAAGTCTGAACAGCAACCAATATAAGATCCTTCCATTTGGTCCTTCAGAAGTGGCACTCTGCCCTGACTGATTTCTGATTTGAATTCTGTGCAATACCTCCCACGTACTGACAGTGCCGAATCTTTTAGAATGGCATGCAGGGGCCCTATCTGCAGCATTGCGATACCCAGGACTCTAGACCAGGGGTGCACAGTTTGGAAAAAGTCAGGAGAATAGGACTCTTGCAGGTAATATTCCACAGCAGATTAAATTGCACTGCATGATACTTCTTTTTTCTGCATCAGGGAACTCTGTTGGTTGGGCTGTAGCATCCAGAGGGACGCTACAGGATTTTTGTCTTTCCTTAACATTTCTGTGGGTTCATTTTGGTGGGTTTTCCAACCAAGCTAAGTCACAAGAGAAGTAAGTGCATCTTAATGGGGGTATTTCATTGTTTGTAATTAAAAATCTTAGTCATAATTTGTAAAACAGAAGTTAATGAAGAGTTGAATGGTGTAGTGTAAGGCGGTCTCTTCTGCAGATTCCCTCTTTCAGGCATTCACAGCCTGATTTCTGCCTACTGATTAATATCACTGACTGTGTTAGACTTACTTCTGATTTACACCAGGGTGAGTATATAAAAACCTTTGGGGCATTCCAGGCACAAGTTCAACAAGTAATTCCAGCCTCTTTTTAGAACAATGGGCTAACACCTTAGACTGTGAGAGGTTTGAGCTTTGGATCCTCTGCTGTTACAGTATCAAAATTTCTGGGGTTTTTTCCTGGCCTGTTTGCTTGAATTGAAGGGTTTATCCTGATGGTGATAAACTTCCATGTGTTCACATAATCAGATACATGTGAACTCATAAAATTCCAAGCGTGATATTACATTGTTGGAGGCAACAAAAGCTCAACAGGCATGATGTAAAGACACAAATATTCAAATAGGAATACAAAACAAAGAAAAACTGTTAATATCATTCTACTCTACTTTTAGACTTTTGATAAAGATACTGTCTGACTGTCTTGTATCAGACAATTTAATTCAAAGGTAGGCTAACAAATGAAATGAACCTACAGGATTGGACTCTAAAAGATTAAAATGAAAATATTTCAGGACTATTTCAGTTTTTAAAATCTTTGCAGTGTTCTTTGAACTGATTTGTTTCCAAGGGAACAACAATCTGCAGAGCTATAAATCTCTTTAATAGCAGCATATCACAGGTAAGAAACCCATATTCCCTGGCAGTGTTCATAATTTTTTGTTTGTTGGACAAGTAATTTTTCATTTTTTCCTCATCCTTCACAGTTTCATGTAATTTAATTTCCTTGTGGTGTTAGAGGAACTCTTGACAAAAATAGTACATGTGACACTTTTCTGAGCATTATTGATATAACAATAGAAAATAAGAAATAGTTGAGGGATTTATTTTGGAGCAGAAAGTAAGTCACAGGCTGTGCCGTGTTGAAATACCATTTTGTCAGGTACCATCCAGGCTGGAACAGCTCTGTCTACACAATGCTTCAGTTCTGTTTAGCTTTCCAGTCCTAAACCAAATCCAGTCAGAGGGGGAAAAAAACAAGAAAATAAAAGATTTGTGGAAATTTTGACTTTACTGGCAAAGCAAATCCACATAGGAAAAATTCTCACTGAGAATTTAAAGCCCAGCTCTCCAAAGCTTTTCTGGGAGGTGTAGAAGTACCTAGGTATTGTGTTTTGCTAACCTGTAAAACACAGCCTCACCTCTGTGGGAGCTCTACATAAGTTCCTGTTGGCAGTACAGGGGATCTTTTCGTGGTAAATGAACAACCCGGGTACGGGACTTGGGAATGCTTTATTGGGAGCATGGAGAAGTAAACTCAGCAAGCTGTATATGTTACATACACTACAGCATTACCAACCCATCCCCTCAGTGGGAATGGTTTGGGTGTTTCAGTAGAAACAATATTGCAGAATTTCTTGAATGAAACACAAGCATTTTTTATGAAGTGCTGAACATCCATTATTGAAAAATCAGATTTTCATGAGACATGCTTTTTATCACAGACAAACTCACTGTTTTTAAAAGCTAGATGATGGGCCTGAACTAAAATGAAAATTAACTTTTATTGTGTGCTTTTTCACACTGTATTTTACGGTGGTATTTGTTGAGTTAGACAATGGTAAAAGAATGAGAGTTCATGAGGGTTTTACTTGTTGGATTTCAGTAACTGTTTGTGGTCTTCATGAAATAAAATGTTTAAATTATTAGAGTTTTAGGAGAACAAGTTCATTTTGGAAGCAACTTCATTGACTTCAGTAGCACTGATCTCAGTAGAGTTCAGTTTGACTTTCCAAATGTATTATTATTTTATG